GGGGGGGGGGGGGGGGGGGGGGGGGGGGGGGGAGAGAAGCTAGAAAGGAGGGAGGTGGCCGTTGTCTTCCCTAGCTCTGCGCAACGCCTTTGAACGCCCGTGTCCTGCTCTGCAATGCGAGAGAGGAGGCGTGCCGGGGCAGGACGAATTCAGTGTTCTGTTCAGTGTCTTGCTTCCCAGAGAGGCTAACTCGGTAACTTTAAGGAATCTCACTGGAAAACTGCTTCCCGCGCTTCCCATCCACTCATTAAGTGAGGGTGCAAGGTCTGAAGGTGGAAGCTCCATTTCTTTCCGTTGTGGGTGGTTCCTTTTGTTTAAGCCTGACTTGAGTGTAATGACAGCAAGTTCTGTAAATCATCTTTGTACAGTATATCAGTGCTAGCCTGGTAAGCAGTACTTGACCTGGGGTTGCATGCAAAGAAATTTCATGTGTGCATGATGGAGAGCTCTATCCTGTGTACCAGTGTTAAACACTGTAAAAATTGTCAGAAGCTTCTTTGACTGCAGTTTAAGAAATATGATTCTGCACCCCCCTTCTGCCAAGTCCTATCATGCCAATAAAATTTTTTGCAAGGTTGTCACTTTTGAACACAGAGGTTCTTCCATTTCTCTTGTTCTACTGACAGCCAGTTTAAATGGGAAATCCTATGTTTTCATATATCAGAAGGAGACTTTTGTAATAATTCTTTTTCTGTGCTGTGCATAATATAAACTCTTTATGATGTCACAACACAGGTGAAAGGGTTGAGTTTGCATTGTGACATGATTTTGGCATCAATGTGGTTAGGAATGGACACCGATGTGTGTTATCCCTTTTGAGTATTTTGCACAGCCCTAGTGTTTACAGTAACTCACTCTTCTACAATCTTTGGACAGTCAAACTAATTGCTGTTTCTAGAGATCTGATAAATGTGTGAGTGACTACAAAAATGTGAATTGTAGTCACTCGGTCCTCTCAGAGTTGTGAATCACTTGAAATCCAATAATCTTGAATGTATATATAGTTACAGACAGGTTAAAAGCTAGATGGCCTTTCAGCATTTGATGGACTATCATATATAGCTGACTGGCTGCATGAAGCTTGGTTCAGAAATTATGCAGGCTTGCAATAATAAGATGCGGAATATAAGATTGACTTATATCAGACTATTGACTGAAACTATAGTAAAAGAAATATGGAA